ATTATATGCAAATAAACGTTTAAAAAAGACATTAAATCTAATACTGAATGAAAAGCGCGCCAAATAATTATACAACGTGACGTCATTTACGACGTCACGTCATTAAGTTGGTACCCAGTACTGTGCACGCTGGTATTTCACTGAAACAACGTAAGGGGCTTAAATTCAAAACAGTGAAATTATCAAAGTGGTATAACTGTTTCAAACAGTGAAATTACCAGTTTTCTATCACTGATATATTTCTATAAACCACCGAAAAGCATGTAATAAAACTATTGCGTTGCATATTTCTCGATTACGATCTCATTACTTTACTATTATACTTAAAGGCTACCGTGCAATGATGAATAAACATGAATTACTTTTGTATGCGCAGCGTTCGAGTAGTCGTTGCACGCCTAACACGTGCGTCTTTTCCCCGCGCAACAACGAGGCAAAATTTGTATATGTATATAAGGTTGTCCTTTTTGTGATTTTTTAAATATTTAGCCTATTCATATAATTAAACAATTATTGACTAGTGAGCCAGTGAATATGATGTGATATTCAACGGCAGAAAGTCATATTTGCCTCGGCTATCGCCTCGGTCAAAATGTCATCTGCCGGTGAATATCACATCATATTCAATGGCTCATTAGTCAATAATTGTTTAATATTTATTAGAAATCTGTAAATCATAAAACTGTTATTATCTGTTTAATATTACGTTTGTCTCTAACTTTTATTGAATATTTTTTGTAGACTTTCTGTTTGGTATAACCTTATTGTTATTAATAATTTGTGTATTATTGTTATTGCTTTGATATGTGTAAAATATAAATTTATTATACCGAATAAATTGTATTATAATATTGTTTTTTAAAAGCAGGCAATATTCGAAAAGGACTTAAAATAACCCACTTTTACTCTTGTTTAAATGTGTTTTATGTGTTTTAAATGAAATAAATCATTTCTTAACATTAAACATATTTGTTTAACAATTAAATGCTATTTAGTTTGCAGGGAAAAGATTAAAGTGTCAAAAGTGCCTTTATCCTGCTGTGAAAGGGACCCCAGGGTAAATAACAATTCGCAAATTAAAACATACACGGTTGGTCATTACAATAAAGGCTTATGATCATTCTATTTTGTACAAGAGGGTCACTGTTTTATTGAATCTATAAAAAACAAGATATCTTCAACACTAAAAGAAATTTGAAATTAATTTCGAAACTAGTAATATCATAATAAATAATGTTGAATGTTAGTTCGATGAAGATAATCTATTGCAGAGATGTATTACAGTTTAATTAGTCACAACGCGATTTTTCATGTTTTATCTTTAAATATAAGAAGACAATTTCAATCTACATATATCCAACATATCCGCATTTCTTCTACAACAGTACATACTACATGGAATATATTCTAAAACTTCCACAGATAAATACCTATAACTTGTGAAAAAACGCAGACATGTCTCCTTATCTGTTTCTGAACTGAAACACTCTATCATCGATTTTAAAGATAAGTATGCTTTTGAAGTGTTTTATTTTCCTTTTTTAAATAATTTACAAACTGGAGGAAAACCACTTAAAATTTGCATTATTCACAAGAAAAGGTATTTTTATTTTCCTTATTCTGAATTCTTGAAATATGATAAACAAAAACAACGGAAAGGCGGTGTTCAACGAACGCAAGTCTTTGAAGTCTAAAGTCTTCCTTTTTCACTTAAATGTTGATTCTTATGTTATTATGTGACAACGCCTGGGTAGAATCTTATCTTTTCAGTGTCAAGTTATTTACTGGAAGGTCAGTGTGTATTTAATTGATTAGGTGCTTGGATATCACCCTTTGTCAACTTACACCGTGGATATTTAGGTAAGTCATAAATGACATAAAATAGTCTAGCAACATTGTTTAAAAATACAAATGGCTCATCAAAATATTTTATGATTTTAAGAAAGAAACAAAATATTTTTATTTTTTATTTCACCATTAACATATACCTAACATGTCCTAGTCAGTCTCAGTTTGAGAATTAAAGGTTTTGTTAAATATTGTTTTAAAAAAAATACCAAACTTTAATTATCAGAATAGAACATATTTTTTTATTTGTTTTTCGTACATCATTATAATATTTCATTGACCATACCATTTTCAAACACATTATTACCATACTATTTGCTCTTGCAGAAAGGTATTATTAAAAGAAAAGAAAATGAAATGAAAGCAAATAATTGTTTAATATTGTTCTTCTGAAAAAGAAGTGCTTTTTATAGCAAACGGACAACCTTGGGAAATAGGTTTTAGATGTGACACAACATCTTGATGTGGTAGACATTTTTGCCAAGTTATTTTAAAATCCTTCAATGGATGTAAATGTTACAGTTTGAAAACTTACGTGAACCTAAAACCCTTCTTATGAGCATAAGTACCTTCAAACTATTAGAGCGACCTTGACCTTGTAGGTAAGAACATGGGTCTTACACACAACACTTGGTCTTGATGTGGTAGTCATTTATGCTAAGTTATTTTAAAACTCGTCAGTGCATGTCAAATTTACAGTCCACACACGAATGTGAATCTTTTAAAATTTTCTTAAGAAAATAAGTATCTCCATACTGTTAGTGTGACCTTTTGGGTAGGGACATGTGTCTTGTATGTGACATGTCTTCTAAGTGGTAGAAATATATTTATATCATTTAACAAGAGCTGTCTCGCAAAAGAACAAATGTCCCCGAAAAGGTTTCTTAAGTACTCAGGTAATATGAAAAGAAAATAAGACTGAACGTAACTAATTCTTGTAAAAATGAAGTGCTTTTTATAGCAAACTAAGCACCTTGGGGCAAAGGTCTTGGATGTGACATATCATCTTGATGTGGTTGAGATTTATACCAAGTTATTTGAAAATTCTTTAATGCATGACAATGTTAAAATTACACTTACCTATAACAAGCGGTGTCTGATTATCTGTTAGTATATGTGATTTCGTTGCAAATTTCAACGTTATTAATCAGGCACTTTAAAATATACAGCTAGTAAGCTTAAGACGTTCGCAAAATCATAAGATAGAAATGAGAGCACCAGCAAGAGAACCGTGCAATAATAAAGCCTTAGGGAAACAACAGTATTAGATCATATTTTATCTACTACATGTATGTAAAGTAATAGCATACACAGCTCTTGTATCATACACGTACTTAATGCATCCATATATCAGTATTTTTGAACGCCGCGCTTCCTTGTTGATCTTGTTTTTCATTTCTTCTTTTTCGTACTTTTCATGTATTCGTTTTCATGTATGATACTTCAATTTGTTATGACATTATATATTTTCTATATAACATACGGACTTATTCACTTTAATTAACCCCTTTAAATAAACGAAACCATTTAGTGTTGGTGCGTGAACCTATAGTAATACAAATAGTGGTGCATAACCTATAATTATGATTAAATAGTGTTCAGCCTTAATCGTATGACTATAGGATGAAATAAACTATTTCTATATTTCTTAATTTTTGCTTTTAAGCGCATTCTAGATAAATGCAATTTCTAAAGCAAAACAATGTAACAAAATATACACTATCGTTCTTGTTTTATATATACAAGCAATACGCATAAGACTGATTTGTGATTTTTAATGATTTCAAAGGGCTCGAAAACAAATTATCATACAACTTAGGAGTCTTCTTCTGGCGGTATAATAATATAAATAATACATATCGTATGCCAGGTATTTAAACTATATTTATACATAACAAACAAATATACATTATGCCTCCAGATGCATGCTTATTTCCACATAAAGTTTTAAAAATATTTAGAAGTTAACAAAAATATATTTTAGGCATTGAAAATGGCACTTACAATTCAATTCTAAGGTCTACATAAGCAAAAGATACCCCGTACTAATAATACTGCAAAATCAGTCAATAATCGCACACAACATGTAAATTATTACTTGAATCTTGCATTTTTACTTGCTCTAGTTACATTTTTGAAGTTTGATTTACTTGAAATAGTGTGGCCTCCTGTGGGCGCATGTAGCTTTAAGACTATTTTACGGCGTTTCATGAATTGAAAAAAAAACACATTATCTTTATATATGTAATAAATAAAATGAATGTGTGTGTTACGTGGATTTCTAAACTACAAAACGGTTTTTATGAAAGGCATCTATCCATATATTTTCCTACATTGAATTTATTTTACGTGAATAATTTAAGAAGCTCTTGATTGTAAAACCGAAAGTAGCACAAAGTTTCGTTTTTAAATAATTATGAGTGTGAGTGTGTATAAAGGTATACTAAAGACCTATAATCAAGAATCAAAGTCATAGTTATAGTCAGAGTTATAAAAATAAATTTATCGAGGTGATACGTTGCAGTGGCTAATTTGTTCCAAATATAGATTTCCTATCGCTGGATAAAATCACATCCGTAATTCTATATGTTAATAAGCTCATAACATAAAAATGTGAAAGACCAAATTAATGTATCGCTAAAATAGTTTTGTTTCGGTCCCGATCTGAGCTTTTATTTGATGCTGATTTATTTTAGCGTAATAAGATGATTGCAAATCTCTGGGTTCTGGTCGTTTTGCTGTTATCGCATGATGCGTTGCTTTGTTTTTATTGTCCTTAAGCTAGTATACGTCAGTAACATGCTTTATTGGCAATTACAGTACGATGCACATTTATTTAGAACAAAAGTGTGCGTTGTTTCAAATAGAGCGCGGTTATGTACGTTTAATAGTATAACCGCGTATGAAATAGCATGGGTCGCTTGACTGTACCGAGACTCAGGCAGGAAAATCATGGAGAAATACAAATTGAGGATAAGGCATAGTCAATGAGGAACTTGCATTAATCCGTACCTATTTAATTTTCTTAAGTGGACAAAACCGTTCCATTTTATTACTTTTTGCATAAGTAAACAGAAAGTGTTTGGTTCGGGACACTTTTTTTTGTTTGTTATATATAAGACTTAACGACAAACTTAAATGATTTGTTGCAGATAAAGAAAACATAAAATGGCTTCTGGGGGAAGTCATGGAGCAGCACCTGGTAGAATAGCGCCTGTTGGAGCTCTTGAGGGAGTACATGTTGACCTCGAGAAAAAAAGAGGCTTATTACTTGCGAATGCATTTTCTGATAGAAAAAGAGGTTACCGCCCTCTTAAGGGCACGTTTTGACCTGGCTGTACCGCCACACCAACTTCATGCGAAAATAAAAAAGTATATGAACACCCTAAATTATGCAAAGAATAAAAATCTTCTGAATAAAACGCAGTGGGATCTTTTGTTTCCGCAATACCATCCACCGTCCTCGGGCACCTTCGACGTTTCTCTTCTGGCTTATTTACTTAGAAACATCTGTAAACTTAATTCGAATTGGTGGAATGAAACTGACAACAACAAAATTCCTGACAGTGAAGTTACTATAGAAGCTGATATTGTTCGATTAAGAAACTTAAGGAATAATGTAATTATATTACTGCTTATTGAAACTATTCTAAAGAAAAGTCTTAATGTGTAATAAAAAAACATAGTCGCTTCATTAGAAAATACTTTAAATCGTAGTTTGTTCTTTACTGATTAACATCAAATTAACATTCAGATATTCAAACGTGACAGAAATCTTATTCAAAGCTATAACTTATATTAATAATGATAATCGTATTCAGCAACCAGCTGTAAATCTGTGTGAAATCAACTTGATCTGAACCTTGATACTATATTCAGACAAAATATTTGCAAAATTATTCCAATTGTATAGTATGTAATTATATAATACTACTTCTTTGTACTTACCTTAATTTTTAATACTGTAACAATTGAATAGATGCTGCATAAACCAATTGCTTCATTAGAGCCGGCAGAATTTGAAAACATGTGGGACTCAGCAGAAAAGGTACGTTTTGTGTATAAACTGTTGACTTGAGAAGAAAATAATCTTCATTGTTTATAATGCATCTAGACAATTTGACTTTTGCTGTTCTATTCATTATTATGTTACTATACTTTCTTATTAGGCGGCATAAAACTCATTGCCTGGAACATGGAAAAGAGATTAGTTTTGTTTTTCCAAACGAAAGGGTTAACATTTCCTTAAGTTAATTTCCCACAATTTAATGCACTTCTAATCGATTAAAATACGTGTCGAACTGTATGTTTATCATGTCTTTTTAACCGTTTATACGTTTAAGATTTGTTTTAACACGACTACTTGCTCGTCGTACAGCGATATCCCCATCAATTTTGATGATAAAAAAGAAATAAACGTGCACATGTTCACATATTTTACAATACAAACCATTGCCCAGATTCTTGCAATCCTATTTCAGATAAAATAATGTAAATTAAAAATAATATCAAAATAAATCTACATTACAGATGACTGCATTTCTATTTGCTGTAGTTGCTACAGTTTGTTTTATTTAAATCACGGACCGAGCTTGCATGAGTAAATCATTGCGAAATTGATTTTTAATAGTAGGATTCCAACGGAAACTAGCATATCTTTTAAATTTTTCTGGAACAGATTTGGTAATGCGTGTACGGTTTCTTTCAAAACCTATAAATATACATACTACTTTAAATTGACGTATGCATGTTCAATTTAAGTCAAGGGATACCTATTTATTTTTAATAAAACGTAATATAATTAATCGCTGTAATTGTGTTGCAAAATTTGATGGCCTCTTAACATTGTCATCAAAATCTTTGGCGCAATTTTTACGATATATTATTATTATGTGTAGACATTACTCTCACTTGCATTAAGCATTGATTTGCGCCTTCTTGAAAAACGTATTTAAAATATTTTCCAACAATATTAACCAATGACTAAACTTTAGAAGCTGATCACTCGACTTGACGTCTTACTGTGAAATTGTAGCCTCTTATCAATACGATGTTATTGCTCTTTTTTGACAGCTGTGTTGGCGAAACCTTTTTGTCTTTATATCCAGGTAATGCTTCGCCTTGCTGCAAAGTTAAACATACAAGACCAAAAGAAGACAATTGATGATTTGAAAACCAGACAACTTGATTTAGTTACAAATGGAATGAGGATTATAAGAGGTAAGATAGGAGCTTCTAATGTTAAAAGTGCTTAAACCTGTACAACTGTGTTTGCTGCATACATTATATTTCAATAAAATTTCTTACTGAAATTAATTTGTCATTGGATCTTATTAGTACATACAGGAAAAAAATAATTTATTCTTAAGTTGTGGAATCTGACATTAACTTTGATCATTTATGTTTTTAAAGCAAATACAGAATTATTTCTTCAAGACTATCAAGACGATCGTCAATATGTAGAAACTGCTGCCTACCAGAAAGCAATGCGAACTTTAAAAGATAAACACATGGTTATACTAACTGGACATCCAGGGGAAGGAAAAACTATCATGGCTGCAAGACTTGCCTTACATGTAAGTCAGTCCCCACGTAACTGTCTCAATCTTGTATCGCCATCAGATTGGAGACAAATCGACTTGTCATTAAAGCTTTTTGATACAATAATCATAGATGACATATTTGGTGCTGGTGCTTTGGATCAGAAGTTACTCGAAGATTGGCGATATCATCTGAAGGAAATAGAGAGAGCAGTCAAGAAAAAAGCCGTGCGAGTGATAATAACGTCAAGGCATTACATTTATGAGGAATCTAAAGAGGAGCTTGGTTCTGTGCCAATGTTCACCGAAGATAATGAAGCTCTTCTCCTGCTTACATCTTCTGAGCTGTCATCCGACGAGAAAAGGAAAATTCTAAAAATGCAAGCGGAAAAAAATGTAAGATTTCTCGAAAACGAAACAGTACATGAATGTGTTGAAGCTTCTAAAGGGCCGACAGAAGAAGAAAAAGATTTTCTGTTCGGATTTCCAGAATGTGCATCTATGTTTGTCAGAAACAAGACCATGCTCGATGAAGGTGCATCATTTTTTAAAAAACCAGCCCAGTTCTTTAAAACATATTTAGAAGACTTGTATAGTGGCAAAGAACAAGAAAAGTTTTTAGCACTTGTAACTGTATGGGCCAGTGATGATAAAAAGGTCTCGCAAAAGGATTTGAGGGATATGGAAAGTGCATCGGACCATGTCAAGAAGGTAGCAAAAATATTTGGCCATAATGTTAGCCGAGACTTTCTTTACAAAATGCGATTATCCTTAGATTCTCATGTGGGAGGATATCTTGTTTTTACAGAGTCGACTAAAGAATATACTTTCAGTCATAATGTCATCGCAGATATGGTTGGTCTGGTCATTGGTAAACATGAACCAGAAAAATCAGTAGAAATATGTCCACGAGACTTTCTAATGGAGTTTGTTTTAATTGAAGATGGCATGCGAGATGATTTTAAAGTACTCTTATTGGACAACGAAATCAATTGTCTTATAGTAAAATGTGTTAAAATGCTTTTGCGAGACACCTTTAACCAAGATGTTAAAGATATCAAACTATATGACTTTCAAGAACTTTCCAGGACCGGGCATAATAATAATTACATCTACATTAACCGCATGATTGATTTTGGTATCATTAAACACAAAGCTTTTAGCTCTGATATATTTGTGAAAAAGTTCATCGACTATATCATTGAAAAACATCTCGTACAAAAATGTTTTTCTGTACCCGTCATGATAATTGACTATTGGAAACATATAATGAAACTTGATATACATATGCAGAAACTTGTAATGTGTCTGATGGGATATGCCTGGTATATTGGGGCAACGATATTTGCAAAGGAAGTTATGACTCGACGGGTGCTCGGAGAGGAAAACGTCGATTTGTCTGTACACTTATTGTTGGCTGTTCACTCTAGACAAAAAGATTCAGTAGAATTCCTTCTTCGCCATGGAGCAAAGGTAACTGGCGATACGATATATATCGCTTCTCATAATAGCGTAGAGCTTCTTGAGATATTACTTAAACATCCAAAAACAAACGTCAATGACAAAGGAAATGCAATCAATGGTAATTTTCCTTTAATTTTTGCAGCAGAAGAGGGTCTAACTGAAGCTGTGAAATGTATGCTTAACGCAGGTGCTGATGCTGGAGTACAGAACAAAGAACACAAGACGGCATTATATAAGGCAATACAATACAAACGCAAAGATGTGATCAGACTTTTGATAGATGCCGGAGCACCACTTGATATAAAAGAGGGTGTATTGAGTAGAACACCACTACATTTAGCAGTGGATTTGAATGATATTGAAGTTGTGGAAGTTCTCCTTGAAAAAGGTGCTTCTTTGATGGTCAAAGACCTTGGAGGAGACATCCCAATACATACTGCTGCTATAAAAGGAAGAACTGATATTCTACGAGCACTTTATATAGCGGATCCAAGCCAGGGCAACCAATTAATGTACTACTTTGGTGCAGAGTCTGAGTATGTTCTCAAACTTCATTCATTATTTCATATTGCCATTTGGAAAAAGGATGAAGAGCTTCTAGATGCTTTGATAGGACTAAATGCTGATCCAAATTTAAAAGATTTCTATGATCAGACGCCTTTGTACTATGCAATTATGAGAAAACAGAAAAGCTTCATCAACAAATTATTAGACTATGGGCGAACCGAAAAGATAAAACCACATACTCAAGGTATCACTCCTCTACATGCCGCTATTTACAAAGGTTTATATGACATTGCAAAACGTTTGGCTTTAGATGCCAATGTAAAAGTAAATGCAAAAGACATATACGGGAAAACGGCACTTCATGTAGCATGTGAAAAGGTAAATGTTGGGTTAATACAGACTCTTCTGGCAAAAGGAGCGGATCCAAGAATTGTCACGAAGAGTGGCGAAAATGTATATCATTTCTTGAGAAAAAGTAAGAAGAATTTGTCTGTTGGAAGATCCAAAGATGCGAAATGTGCTGAGCAGGTCATACGTGAATTTGTCGATCCGGAATTTTTTACAAAATTGCAGAAAATAAGAAATAAATTCGACCCATATGAAGATGAAAATGATGACCACTTAGATGCGTGTGCTTCCATAGAAGATATGTATTACAATCCAAAATCAATCAAAAGGAAATATAAAAAGAAAAAAAAAGATATGTATGACGATTATGGCGACTACTTTTATTAAAGGATCGAAATTGAAAATCACTGAAAGGAGTGTGTTGTTTAATTGTGTGGAGATAGCGAATCAATTGAACAGATAACTACAAATGTGAGACTACTTAATTCTTTCATGAAATGTATGCTTATAAATAAACATAGTTTTATACTGACAATAGAATGTTTCTTCAAACTTTACTTTTTTAAATATTCTATATTATATTAAGCTAGAATGGTATGTATAAGTTTTATGCTAGAGTTAATACATGTCATAACCTGATGTGAAAATGTGTCATAACTTTTATTGAATACTTTGTGTTTTCTAAATACAAACAGATATATACACATAGACATGAATATAATGAAAATAATTTGATTAGTATGTATGACTTTTAAAGTAAAGTGTTGTCTATAGTTTTTTGTGTGTTTCGTTTCTGTTAACGACATTTGCATTAAATCAAAGAAACCAATATAGTTTACAATTATATTTATATATAACCCTTTTAAAAATTATTTTCAAACGTTTATGAAAATCAACATGAATCAGGAAGCATTAGATACAATGTTTCTATTTAACCCTAGCAACACGGTTATATTTACAGATCGGGTACAAACATTTACATCCATAGGACTGCACATTTTGAAATCATTTTAATAGATACCACCGCCTTCAAGTGATTTTTTTAGTCTGAATTGGCACTTAACAAGTGTATTTCTTCCTTAGAGCACACGATTGCAGGAAGTAACGTTATGAGCAAAAAGTATGTGTTTGAACGAATTTTAATTCAAAAATGTTTATCAAGAAACAAACCTTAAAATAGATTTTAAAAATATGCCTGCATTTTTTTTACCATGTGCACGAAGATTTAAGTATTTGTTACCTATCTTACTCTATACAACAAAAACAACAACGAAACACGCCGAGTCAACTAACTTAACTGAGTGAAAATCTATGTTATATATGTATATCCGTTACATATATTGAACATTTTAAGATGCATGCCTTCAAATGATCCAAATATTTAAGTTTAAAGAAAAGGAATTTATGAGCAGTAAAAAAGGAGTTTCAAGAGTTTCAAGTAACAATTATCATTAAATAAAAGATGAATAAATGATTTTTTTTTTCAGAATTAATCACCATATTTCTTCTGCATAAATAACCCAGTGAATGCTATTTTTGCATATTTTAACTTATTTGACGGTCAATGTCAACTAAGTCAAAGTCATATCAGGATTATTCAAAATTAAGTTTGGCTCTGCCATATTTTCTGTTGTCAAAGTATAAATAAAATTATTGAATAACAAAGGAATGACAATATGACAATATAAGCTTATTTCTGTATATGGCATCAAGGTTATAGTTTTTTATAGAACAGTCAGTGGAAAATCTTTGCACCACCGGAAATGTGGTAATTTTCTGTAACATTTAAACTTGCGCTAAACGCTTAAAAATCATTTCATTTTATTTTTTTATTTTTTTGTTTCATATCAAAAATAGCATTTAAAAAAACTGTCCGGTTGGATTTTAGCTTATTCCGCATGGATAAACGCTCGGAAAAATTTAATTCCAATCGGAATATTTTCCGGCATTATATCCAATTATTAATTATCCAATTGGAATTCCTAATTTTCTGAAATTGTCAATATACATAGTTACGCATATGCTTAGTTTATATTTGTATGCATTTTCAGGTTGAAATAGCGTTAATTTAAGCATTGTTTCGGAAATCCGATCAGATTTTTTCTATTAAATTTAACTGGAAAAAAATCCGATCGGAATAAACCCCAACTAGATATTTTGATAATTATATTTGATAACCACGTGAAACACGGACATTTCTGTAAATAGCTGTCAGAATGTATCGATAATGCCAAGTTGATAAAGAGTGGGACAGTACGGTCTCCCGTTAGGGATACCAAAACACACAGATAATCAAGGCAATGAAAACACAAAATACCGATGGTAACAATTCGAAATAACGAAATCACGAAACCACGATGGTATAAAGACGAAAGAAAATGATGATGAACAGGAATAGGGTTACCAAAACACACAGATAATCAAGGCAACGAAAACACAAAAACCGATGGTGAAAATTCGAATTAGCGAAACCATGAAACCACGATGGTATAAATACGAAAGAAAATGATGATGAACAGGAATAGGGTTACCAAAACACACAGATAATCAAGGCAACGAAAACACAAAAACCGATGGTGAAAATTCGAATTAGCGAAACCACGATGGTATAAAGACGAAAGAAAATGATGATGAACAGCAGATAGAACGATCAAGGTGAAAAATGTTAAATATCGAAACAGCAAAACATTGAAGGTAAAAGGTCGAAAAAAGATTATGAAAACACAAAACTATGTCGAATTTATTTTCTTGACATTTCACCGCACTTCTTGTTGCTGCCGCTGTTTTGTTACTGTTGCTGTTGGTTGTGGTGTTGGTGTTGTTGCTGTTGATTATTTTCATTCATAATTTCTTTTGTTATTATTATAAAGATGCTCATCATCATTATTATTATTATTATTATTAATTTTGTTGTGAATCTAAATTTCCGCATTTTAAATTATTATTATCATAATTATTACTATTGTTATTATTATTTTATTATTATTATTAGTAGTAGTAGTAGTGGTAGTGGTAGTGGTAGTGGTAGTGGTAGTGGTAGTGGTGGTGGTAGTAGTAGTAGTAGTAGTATAATTATTATTATTATAGTTCTTGTTGTTGTTTGTTTTCGTTGTTGTTGTATTATTTTCATAATACTTATATTCTTATAAATATATAGTTATTATAAGTATTAATGTTAGTATTAATATTAGCTAAATAAGTTGTCTCAAAAAGTATATATGTCGCGGTGTTCACTTTTTAGAGTGTGTAGATTATATGTGATTTAAGAAATCCATAGACAACGCTCGTGAAAAACGTTTACAAATGCCGCATCGCGACAGTTCCCTTGACCTTATCTCGCTTCACTACTTTTCTAATACACCTTTTCAAAACATTCGAAGATAAGAGTATAATCAATAAGCAATATTCAATACATTGCCTTTAATTCCTCAGTGGTGAAAGTTCTCCCGGATCTAGTTTTATTTTATTTTGCAATAGCTTAGGTCATTCGAAGCCTGCAACATTCTTACACGGAACTGTATTGATCGATTATTAAAAAAAAAATAGCACTTAAATAAATTAGTTCACATAATCAGAAAAAAATCCTACAGTAGCCTTCCGCTCTACCTCGGAAATGAAGTTCGTTTCTTTTTTAATGCTTATAAAGTTCTATGCCTGATGATAGAAAGAAGGGCATTCTAAAATGATCAAATCTATTTCTGTGAATGCACAAGCCATATTTTATAAAGGAAGGTTTCCAACAAAGGGCATTGAATGACCTTTTTGTCTCGGAATACCCTGTTTTGTTGCTGTGCAAGCGGTTCATTGATGTTACACTTTATTTCGATATGCCCCTACTAGTTGTTTACAGAGAATAAAACAGTTATCTTATTACAGAAAAGACTGCGCAGGGGTCGTTTATTCAGAGTAATTGAGCCTTTTTTGCAGACAGTGCGGTATCCGAGCAGCATACTTCTCTCTTGCTTAATATTTGAATTATGATGATTCAAATTTAAAATAAAAATGACTCGAGTTAATAACTTCTTCTAAACTATCAATACTATTAGTAATTCACTTTTTACGCAATGGACATTACAATGTACGTTGTTGCTTTCATTATCTTTACCTTTACAATAGTTCATCATGTCTGTCTGGAAATTAATTTCAAAAGTTAAATCAAAACTTCACACAGTGATACAGATATGTCGGAGAAATTTGGAACTTAAGATAAAGGTGTGCTTTGCTTAAAGTTACATTAAATAAAAATGTATAAAGAATTTTGCCATCGGTCTAAAAATCAAACATTCCACAGTTTCATTAACCTGTTTTTACAGTATTGTTGTAAATCTCATCAAATATTGTTCATAACTAACTATTTTAAAGGAAAACCCCACGGTAACACTAAAGCTCATATACGAATTTTAACATGCAAATGAAGAATAAAATCAGCTTGTGTATGCGCTACGTCACAGTTTCAAAGTTGCTATCCAGAACAAAGCAAATATGATATGTTCTTGTGCAAACACACTTAAACCGTTTTAGCTTCACAGTGCACTGAGCCTGGGGTCAGTGAAAGTAATCATCTCGTAAAAAGATTAAATTTGTACGAAAACATCCGTTACAATGCGGAAATAAACCGTTACATTAGGACTGCTACTTATAGTTATGTTTGTTGATTCAAGATTGATGTGTGGATAGATCCGAAGGCGGAGTTTCTCATGCAAACAGAAATTGTACATCCCATTTCGCCACAATGAGGTTACCCATTTTTATGCTAATTAAACTCATTTTTGTTGTCTGGACAGCAAAATAAAACCTGGAGTCGATATAAAATCCAATTTATTAATGAAATGTCGCTATTTAGTTTTTAATGAAATTTATTAAATGTAGCTTTAATGTTTAAATTACCACCTAGCCAGCCTTTAATGATAGCTAATTGTCTGATAATGCTTTTGCGGAGAAGAACAAAATAACTATAATAACAATGTTTATACATAACAATAGCAGATGCCAAAGGCTGTTTGGCAGCCGTAAAAAGTTATCCCGTACTTCACTTCAGTGTTGTTATATTTTTCTGGTCCTACGGGAACATTGAGCCAAGCACTTAAGGTGTTGAAATTTGAGCACGCTCAAGCCGGTGATAGGAGGCGTGACGGATGTTACACTTTTTTATTATTCCTCATTTGCAGATTATTAAACCGAGTCTTTAATTTTCATGTATTTTGCTGCTTCCCAGGCATCACTTTTTTCCGGATATTTAGATTCGCTTCTTCTGCAAATATGATTATTATACAGAATTACTTGAAAAGCTATTCAATATTCAGTTCATCATAAGGTAAAAATTTAAATAATGAAACTCTGCAACGGAATGGAATCATAATAGTGTAGTTTCAATTTTTATCTCCCCATTTAGAATAACCACACTTAAATTTATTATCATTATTTAACAAACTAGATATCCAATAATACAAAAGTACGTGTACAGTCAACAATATTACTTGATAAGTGCGGTAGAATGCCGTATCCTAATAAAAATGCATCATAATTTGATACTGATTTGTAAAGAATCGTATTTCTTTTCTTAAATGTTAGTTTGAACTATGTTTGCAATTTCTTACTATCTCAAAGTTGCAAATACACTTATCAAGACTTTATCATAATATCAAGTGTAAAGCAAATAATTTGTCATAATTTCTTCAACATTATCACTTCATACTTTTAACAGCAATAATGACTCTTGGTTCCTGGTAATTTACTTGAAACACAAATTCTAAGACTTGGATCCTAGAGTCACACATCTTTATTCTGTCATACCACATACTAGTTTTTATCATAT